TTTAATATATCTTCAAAGATATTTGTTATTCTAATAATTTTATTTATAAAATCTAAAAAATTTATTATTAATGTATTTGATAATTTTCGTATATTTAAAAATCATCTTCTTTGAATTTCTTTCTTCCTTCCCTTTTGCTTAATTAAAAAATATTGGGGTTTTTTTAATTTTGATTAAGTATCACAATTATAGTTTAAACATGGAACTTTTTTTTGATCCAATAAATCAAATTTAATAAAAAATTAAAAAATAATTATATCTTTTGCTAAAATATCAATTTAATCTATATCCGTCTATTAATTTATTTGAATGGCTCGCATTGCCCCTGGAATTGGCCAAAACTAGTTTGTTGTTTGTGGTGTGGATGCACAACATTGATCCCATATGTTTGGGATTGTTTAACACAATCCATTTATGAAGGTTGAATGGTATGATACAAAAAATAAATCAATGGTTTTTGTCATTGTTTCTATCAACCTCTCACTCAGACAAAAATTCGGACCAATTAATAGTTCTCTAGCGATTTGGATTTCAGAAATAAGTATTAATAGGAAATCAAGATCCAAAAAACCTAAACCATTCGCTGGAAAAAAAATAATGGGTTTGGTTATTTTTGGGTTTAGGGTTAGCTTAAATGATTGGGGTAGTTGATTGGATAAGAAGTAGCTAGATGAGGGACTCATTAAATGTGATACTGATAACAAATTAAAGAATTGATAACAAGAATATTAATTACTTTGTGTAAATACTTGTGAAATAATGAATTTTTAATTAATTAGGACTAGAAAAATATCTATCATGATTGAATGAAATTTGAACCTAAATTCAAGTTGAATGATACTGTTGAAAAAGCTTTTTATTTTAACTAAACAGAAGAGCTATTAATAATGACAACCATCAGCAATTGATTGATATAATTTAATTTGAAATGAATCTACCGACCAACTTAAAATTTACACCAAATTAAATGTTAAAAGAACATTTTATTAAAGCTTTTATGAATTAAAGTTAACTTTAATTTTACACCAAATTAAAGATTTTATTTTGGCCAAATTGAAGTTAAATTTTGTCAAATATGGCGAGCTTAGCCAAACTATGACGACGGCCAAGGGGGAAGGCACGGTGAAATTAAAGCATTTATGATTTTTTTTTTTTAAATGCTTTCATGAATTTTGAAAAATAAAAATACTACTCAGTATTTTGTTTAATGTCACTTGTGACTTCTTAGTCAAAATATCAGAGAATGGTAATTTTATTAGGAAAAAATATTTTTTTTATCACCGGTAATTTTTTCAAATCTTAATACGTATAAATTATTTTATAATTAGGAAAATTATAAAATTAAAATTAATGTTGCAAACTTATAAATTCATCTGTAAATTCTAAAACTCTCCCTGAACAATCAGTAAATTGATATATATATTTAAAAAACCACGTCTCAATTATTTCCAATATAAATCAAAATATAAAAAGTAATACAAGAAAGATACTATGACATAGTAAAAAAAAGTTGAAAGCCATTTTTAAGTACTCAAATGGTATTATCTCATATTTATTAAATTTCAGATTTTTTATAGTTTATATTTAAATTCATTTCTTCATCTATTTTAAATTAATGCTTAACAAAAAGTTTAGATTTCTGTTCTTTTTAACTTGTCTTGCCTACATGTGTTTTATGTGGTAATTTTGTTTTATGCTTGATACAATTTGCTAAAGTAATATAATCTCATATCTGTTAAATTTAATGATTGATTTGAAATTAACTAATTAATCTTAAAAATTATTTTAGTGCAGGATTTTGCTACGGCTCCATAAATTTTATACGTCGACAAAAAGATAAAATGATTGCACGGTGAAAACATGAACTAACAATATGATCTCTTAAGAAACCTTTTTTCATGGTTTGTGAATCATAGCTTCAATTGCACGAAATTTAAAAGTTTTTGCCAATTGTGATACTCGTACCAAAAGTTTGAACTAAAGCTTGCTTGGTTCAAATTTTTTGTCATAATAAAAAAGTTTCTTTATATATATATAATTGGGTTTGAGGACTTGCGCATACTTTTTTCTGGTATTATGGAGTATTTGTTTCGTGGATTATGAATTATGAAATCGTCACCATAACATAATTAGTTGTTGTCAATTGTCATCATATTAATTTCATATTAAATACAAATATAAAATTTAGTTACTCCATCACTATGTACTAAAGACGACGTATCTTGCAAATTTTTTTTAAAATGCTTCTTTTGGCCAAATTATGTTTTATCCTTAACATTTAATGACATTGATTATCCTTTTATGGTAGTATTAATTTTTCTTTTCATGTAGTTTTTTGGATTTATGTGCTAGATACAAGTTATGTTGAAACATTTTTTGGCGATAAATATTATTATTTATATTATATTTATATTATTAATATAAAAATAATTTTATTATAATTATTAAATGAGTATCATAATTAAATATTTAAAATAATTTTTATATGGTATATTAAATAGCTAATTAGGTATCTTAATTAAAAATTAAAATAGTTTATATATATTTTATATTAAATTAAAATAAATATAAAAAATGTGCTAAATGTATTAGACAAATTAAATGTATCGTATAATGAATTAAACATGTATTCGTGTGATATATTTTATTTAAATATATTTTTTATATTTTAAATATATTTAAATGTGTTAATATATATAAAATATAAATTATATTATATCAAAATTCATATTAACATTAACATAAATATATGATATATTTTTAATATATAAATTTTTATATTATTTTTATGTAGCGTTGAAATTATGAGGTCTAGTATTATTACAAAGTGAATGTAGCTGAAAATGTTAGGGGATGGGGGCAGAAAGAAAAGAGCCAAGAAATTGCATGTTTGAGAGCTTTATGCGTTGGGAACAAAACGGAACAAAACGAAGAAAAATTAGAGAGAGAAAAGTCAAGTCAGTAGGAAAGGTAAAAGTCGTGCTATGCGTTTGCAGAAATTGCGTGTGAAAAGCTTAAAAATTAAAATTGGTTGAAAGGTAAACCAAATGCTAGTATTAAGTTAACTTTGTTTTTCAAAAAAATATCGAAACTCTCATCTCCAAGGTTTTCCCTCTCCAATTCTATTGCGCGTGAAACTCACTCCGTGTTGATTCAGCCGAGTTGGAAACCGTTTATTAGATTTGATAATTTTAAATATAATATAATAATATATTATAAAAATAAAATATAATAAATTTATATATATATTTTATATAATATTGACATATTTAATATATAATATTATATACATCATATTTTATATTTTATATGTATTACATATTTAAAATATAATTAATTAATTATATTTTAATAATATTATCATGTTAACACGAATAAGTAATATGTGTAAAGATATTTTTTTTTTCATAATTAATTATATTTATATTTTATTTATGTTTTTTTTCTTATGATAAATATATGATTAAAACGATAATTATGCTTATGGTTTTAATATTTTTACTAAATTATTATTTTAATTTAATATTAAATTATTAATACAATATTTTAATATTAATTATATTTAATTATATTAATCATATTTAATTATGTTTATTGTGTTTTATTGTGTTACTTATTTTTAAAATGAGTTAAAATATATTTATCATATTATGTACAAATGTGTTATATTTATAATTAAATTATTATGATTATTTAAATATTTGTTTTATATTTATGTAAAATTTATTTATATCATATTTAAAATCATATATAATATAAAATATAATTCGATGACAGCCCATCATACCATCTAATCAGCAAAAGCGCGTGGAATTTGAGAGATCAACTTTGGTGTCGAAAAGAATACAAGTAAAAGATAAGAAAGGCAGTCAATCCACAGTCTTACGAGATAATGAGTATAAAAGAATCCGCTGATGATGAAGATGTGAAACGAATTTTACAAAAAAAGAAAATAAGCAATTTTTTACAAAACATGAAAACTTTTGGGTTAATGTGTAATTTTACATTTCAAATTTTATCAATTTTTATGATTTAATATTTAATGAATAAAAATTTATTATTAGATATTTAAACTTTAATTTTATCTAACATATATCTTATTATTAGCATAGTTAGTCAAAATGTAAATTTATCAATAAAAAAACATCACATGTCATATTATTTGATTTTTTAAATTAATAACATATAAATGAAAAATATTTTTAAAATAAAAAATATAGGAAATGAAAAAAATATAAAAGAAATCTATTTTGTGTTATTTTTTTGAAAAAAGAAATCAAAAACTTTTTCCTTCAAAAGTTTATTTTTTAAATTAAAAATAAAAATTTTGGAAAATTAAAAAGTTGAAAAAGAAAGAAAAGGAGTCAAGGAGAGAAAAGAAAAAGAATGGAAAAGGAAGGGGCGGGGAAGTCGGAGTCGGAGTAGATCTTACCGGCCTAGGCCCAAGGTAGATCGGCTCGATTAGTATCTTGCCAGCGGAACCTCCTCCTTCTCGTCTCCTTTCACCTTTCATTTCTCTCCTAACTACTGTTTTTAATTTTAAAACATTTTTAATTTTATTTTAAGTTTTTTATTTTTTAAACAATAAAAAAGAACTAAAAACTTAAAGGCGTGTCAGGATTTTATTAATTACTTTTAGGTTACATAAGCTAAATGTTAACGGTGTTAATAAGATAAAATTAAAATTTGAATGCCTAATTATAAATTTTTATTCATTAGATATTAAATCGTAAAAATTGATATAATTCAGTATCAAATTACACATCAATCCAATTTTTTCTCTCTCTAAAATATTGTTTTTATCACTTTAAATTTTGATATAATATGATATGAAAAATATATATAATATATGATTTAAAATTTTAATAAAATATATATGAATTTAACAAAAAAATTTTATATTTAACATGTTCATATAAATTCAACATAATAATTTTTTTAATTTATACTTATTTTATATAAAATAAACACAAAATAAATATATAAATTATGAGATAATATAACGATGTTTAGAGAGACTAGAGAAGATAAGATTTAGGTTTTTTAATTAATTAATTAATTAATAGTACAAAAATAATATAAAAGGAGAAGAAGAAGAAAAAGTAAAGCCAAGGGATGACAAAAAGGGGGTGGCGGATTTGGACTGCCCCGAAAGCATTTTTTCAGAAATCCTTGAAAACTGATAGTACTTCCAATTCTTTGTTTTTCAGAAATTTCTTTCTTTTCTTTAATAAAAACAAAGACATTTTTCATGCATCTCACCTCAGCCCCTAACTAATTAGCTTTCCCCGCCTGCCTCTTCTCGTCTCTTCGTCTTCTCTCTTACTTCTTTCTCTTTTTTATGCAGAGTATATGCAAACTCTCTGTCTATATATGTTCTTAAAAAAAAAAAAGTAGAATCAATTTTTTTGATTTTTTTTTTCAAAATTTACTTTTTACCCAATTTTATGGTGGGCAAGTAGAGTCTAAAATTTTCACTTAAATTGTGCTGGATTTTTTTGTTATTCGTGAAATAGATAGATAGGGATAGAAAGCAAAACAAGAGAGAGAGAGAGAGAGAGAGAGAGAGAGAGAGAGAGAGAAATGGAGAGTTTCTTGTGAAAGAGGGGATCTGATCTTTCCTTTTCGCGTTGAATTCTCTTTCTCCTCCTCATCCTTTATAATGCCCACTTTTGTTTGTGTTTATTTTTTATTTTTTATTTATTTTGTGTGAAGAGAAGGCAGATAGAGAAAAAATATAAATAAAAACGGGGAAAAACCCGAAGATAGGTATAGATCACTTAAAGCTAAGAAGGTTATAAGCTCTCTATTGTTCTGTCTAAGGCTCTCAGCTATTGCTTTCTTTCATAGTTTTGTTTTGCTGTAAAAAGCTTTCATTTGGTTGTTCATTTCACTTTGTCTATTTCCATAGCCTTTTCCTCCCCCTTCCCTTCTTTCTTTTTTAGATAATAAAAACTTAAAACGAATTAAAGTATAGGCACGAAGGAGAAGAAGAAGAAAACAGGGAAATAAATGAGAGCAGGATTAAGCACGATCCAACAGACCCTGACGCCGGAGGCGGCCAGCGTGTTGAACCATTCGATAGCTGAAGCAAGCCGAAGGAATCACGGCCAAACGACGCCGCTCCATGTGGCGGCAACGCTTCTTGCATCTCCCACCGGATACCTTCGCCAAGCATGTATCAAATCGCACCCTAATTCTTCTCATCCGTTGCAGTGTCGAGCTTTAGAGCTTTGCTTCAGCGTGGCGTTGGAACGTCTCCCCACTTCTCAAAACGCCAATAGTAGCAGCCCGGGGCTCGACCCGCCAATTTCCAACGCCTTGATGGCTGCTCTTAAACGTGCTCAAGCCCACCAACGCCGTGGATGTCCCGAGCAACAACAGCAACCGCTTTTGGCTGTTAAAGTGGAATTGGAGCAGTTAATTATATCGATTCTTGATGATCCAAGTGTTAGTAGAGTCATGCGTGAAGCTAGTTTTTCGAGTCCAGCAGTTAAAGCAACCATTGAACAATCATTGAACTCAACGACTTCAAACTCTTCTAATACAGCCGGTTCAATCGGATTGGGATTGAGACCAGTCGTAACTGCTGCTTCCACGGTTGCCGCGCCTTCAACCAATCGGAATTTGTATTTGAATCCGAGGTTACAGCAAGGGGCAGCCACGCAGGCCGGGCAGCATAGGAGTGAAGAAATGAAACGGGTGATTGATATTCTGATGAGGAGTAAGAGGAGGAACCCGGTTTTGGTGGGTGAAGCGGAACCAGAATTGGTTGTTAAGGAGATTTTGAGGAGGATTGAGAGTAAGGAAATTGATGGGGTTTTGAGAAATGTTGAGGTGGTACGTTTGGAGAAAGATTTCGCATTGGATAAAATCCAAATGGTTGCAAAAATTAAGGAGTTGGGTACTCAAGTTGGAGCAAAGATTGGGAATTTGGATTGTGGAGGGGTGATTCTTGATTTGGGTGACTTAAAATGGTTAGTGGAGAATAACCAGCTGGTGGGTCTTGCTAGTGGGGTTCAACAGCAGCAGCAGATGGTATCTGAAGCGGCGCGTGCTGCGGTGGCAGAGATGGGGAAATTGTTGGGGAGGTTTGGAGAAGGGAGTGGGAGAGTTTGGTTGATTGGAACTGCTACTTATGAAACTTATTTGAGATGTCAAGTTCATCATCCTTCAATGGAGAATGATTGGGATCTGCATGTTCTTCCTATTGCTGCTAGACCCTTGCTGGGAATTTTTCCCTGGTACTTGTTCTGACAACTTTGGAAGCTTACATGTGTTTTTTTGTTTATTTTAGCTTTAGTGTTTGAATATGGAAAGCTTAAATTCTATTAGATGATGCTGGAAAAATCTAAAAGGTTCAAAATTTTAGAATTCATTTTAACTTGGATAATATGCTTGATTCCAGGGATTATAAGCAAGTAGATTTTATTGAATATGGCATATTAGTGGGTATCAAGAAATTTCTGTTTATAGATCCATGGTTTCTGTGCTAATAATAGATTTTATTCTGGGGAAAGGGTTGATTCTGATCTAAAATTTAACATTTTTCTGTCAGCTTTTGGACTGGCTTCACGTCCGGAAGACTTTTTGCATTCATGTTTCTTTTTGACTTTGTCTTCCATACTCTTATTCGGTTTCTTTGCAAAGTCTGAACTTAGATGGTGCAGTTTGATCCGTGGGCTTGGGAGGCTCCTTTTCCCTTTTTTTTTTTGTTTTTTTTTTTTAATTCTGGTTTCTGTCAATACCTGAGAGATTAAGTTATCTAGTTTTGTAGCTGGTATCATTGATTAACTTTGTAATATTCTTTTTATCTTCCAGGCTTGGGAGCAATGGGATACTTAGCAGCTCTGTTGAGTCCCTGTCCCCATTGAAGGGATTTGCAACTACAGCTGCTCGACCTAGGCAATTCTCTGAGAACTTGGACCCTGCTCAAAAAACAGGCTGTTGCCCACAGTGCTTGCAGAATTATGAACAAGAGCTTGCAAAACTTTTAGCAGCCAAGGAGTTTGAGAAAACCTCCTCTGATATTAAATCAGAGTCAAATCGGTCAGCTTTGCCTCAGTGGTTGCAGAATGCTAAGGCCCATGATGATGATGCCAAAACAGTAGATCAGACGCAGGTAACAAGCTCAAGTTAAATGAAAACCACGTCTTACTAGATTCTTTCGGTGTGTGTGTGAATATTTGCACGGGTAAATCTTTTTCCCCCTTATCTAAGCTTTATTATTACTGTGACATGTTATATACAGACTAAGGATCAAGAGATGATCTGGAAGCTGAAGACTCAAGAATTGCAGAAGAAATGGAATGATACATGCTTGCGTGTCCATCCAAATTTTCATCAGCCCAGTCTAGGCTCTGAGAGATTCTCTCCTGCAGCTCTCTCAATGACAAGCTTGTACAATTCAAGCCTGCTAGGGCGCCAACCTATCCAACCCAAATTACCACTGAACAGGAACATTGGGGAGACACTGCAACTGAATCCAAATCCAGTAGCTAGCCAACTGATGGAACAGACAAGTAGCCCACCAGGAAGCCCTGTAAGGACAGACCTTGTTCTTGGGCGACCAAAGATCACTGAGAACACACCTGAAACAACCCATAAAGAGCGTGTGAGGGACTTTATGGGCTGCATACCTTCTGAACCACAGAACAAGTTCGAGGATTTGCAAAGCAACAAACTGTTAAACACGTTAGATGCTGACTCATTCAAGAAACTCCTTAAAGGTCTAATAGAGAAGGTGTGGTGGCAACAGGATGCAGCATCTGCAGTGGCCACAACAGTGACACGCTGTAAATTAGGCAATGGAAAACGTCGGGGAGCTGGTTCAAAGGGTGACATTTGGTTATTGTTTACTGGCCCTGACAGGGTTGGCAAGAAGAAGATGGCATTGGCCCTCTCAGATCAAGTATGTGGGACTCATCCAGTAGTGATATGTCTTGGTTCAAGACGTGATGATCCGGAATCTGATGTGAGTTTCCGTGGTAAAACAGTGCTGGATAGAATAGCGGAGGCAGTTAGGAGGAACCCCTTCTCAGTGGTAATGCTTGAAGATATTGATGAAGCAGATATACTAGTTCGAGGCAGCATAAAACGAGCAATGGAGAGAGGTCGACTTGCTGATTCTCATGGTCGTGAGATCAGTCTAGGAAATGTTATTTTAATTCTCACTGCCAAATGGTCGCCAGATAACCTTAAATTCTTATCAAATGGTATTTCCCTGGATGAAAAGAAGCTTACCAGTTTAGCAAGCGGAGGTTGGCAATTAAGGTTATCCCTTTCTGAGAAAACTGCAAAGCGCAGAGCCAGTTGGCTACATGAGGAGGATAGAGCAACAAAGCCAAGGAAGGAAACTGGTTCACCACTGTCGTTTGACCTTAATGAGGCTGCTGATGTGGAGGTTGATAAAGCTGATGGATCACGCAATTCCAGCGATCTCACAGTTGATCATGAAGAACATGCCCTCACAAATAGGCGATTATCCAACTCAACATCATCATCAGTATCTTGTGAGCTGCTAAATTCTGTCGATGAAGCCATTGTCTTTAAACCTGTTGATTTTGGTCCCATTAGACGTGATATAGCAAACTCCATAACAAAAAAGTTTTGCAGCATTATTGGCGACAAGGTAGCGATTGAGATCCTAGATGAAGCTCTGGAAAAGATTACAAGTGGGGTATGGATAGGCCAAACAGGATTAGAAGAATGGACAGAGAAAGCATTGGTTCCAAGCTTGCAACAGCTGAAAACACGATTGCCCACGTCAGATGAGTCTCTAGTCTTTCGACTTGAACTTGATGGTGAGTCCTGTAACCGAAGCCATGGAGATTGGCTGCCCTGTAGTGTGAAGGTGGCTGTTGATGGGTTGTGATGGTGAGGATCATGATTAAATATTTTGCTAGTTCCTAGCTCAAAAATTCAGTGAGGGTAATGAACGAAAGGGATACAATTGGTATTTCGTATTTGCGTTGGATAGAGATGTAAATATAGTCAACTGTTCTTGGCGGGCCGCGAAGACGGTTGAGAGAGGTAAGGAGTTGAAAGCAGTTAGAAGAGGGAGACGTTGATAGATTAACGGTACGTTTATTTAGTAGCCAGACTGACAATGTCTCCGCCCTTTTTATTATTTTATTATTATTTGATTTCTTCTTGCTTTTTTTTTTCCTCGTTAAAAAATTTTATATAGTATTTTATTTTGTTATAGACATGGGACGATCATTACCTAATATAAGAGGCGTTCCTTTTTTCTCCACATCTCGACGTCTACTCATTTAATTTTTTTACAAAAAAAAAAAAGAAGAATGAGTTGAGAATAACAAAAACTATATTATTTATTAAAAATAATTGTATAAATTTATTAAATTAAATTTAAGTTCATTCAATTTTTTTATCAGTACTTTCAATTCTATAGGAAAAACTTATGTTCTCTCAATTATTCTTGCTGAAAAAATGTTATAAAATATAAATATTAACACTTGTTTGATATTATTGAAGTTGCTATAAAAGAATTAGAAAAGTACTGTTAAACTGAATAATTTCACATAATTAAGATTTTCTTTTCCATGTTTTTGCATATGTATTTTACGGGATGTCTTCGGCGTACTGAATGGAGATCGGAACTCTACCATTGGGACTTAAAATTCTAATCGTAAATTCTCAAATTTTGAATTTTAAAATGGATAATGGAAAGGTATATGAGAGGAGATAATTATCTACCCAAATTTTTGTATGTATAAGAAAATTTTTCTTAATTTTTCATTGCAATGCTTTTAAAAGTCTTTACTTTTACTTTTGTTTGTCTTAAAAAGAAATCATTTTAAGCATTTATAAAATTTAGAACATCTTTTGTCATAATTAAAGATAATTGAGATGAGTTAATATAATAAATAATTTTATCTTGAGATTACGTTTTAATTTTCAAGTTCAAGCTTGATTCAAAATAAAATCGAATTATTTTAACTTGTTCGATTATATTCATTTATCGAATAAAAAACAAATTTATGTTATTGTATTCTATTAGACTTGTTTATAGAATACATAGTAATTTTATAGTTAAAATAATAAAAATATTTATTAAAATAAAATTTTAATTAAATTTGTGAGTTATTCAAGTTAAATATTAAGATATTCAAAATTGACTAGCTCGATAAGTTAAACTACTCAAATACTGGCTCGACAATAATCAAATTAAATTTGAGTTTTATCCGAATTAAATATGATTAATTTGTTAGTATTGATATATTATTTATACTCTCAATCAAAATCCTATTTGATTTGATTTGATTTTTTTTTAATTGGAGTCTAATTTTAATTTTTAAAAGTAGGAAACCTACTTTAAATTTGCACCAAGTAGGCATCAACTTGACGAGCCAAATTAAAAAAAAAAAAAAATCAGATGAACATGTTGAAATGATCATGTATTACAACGCATACCTTATGGGAATTTGATAATCCTATAAGATGAGGAAAATCGTATAATTGCAGTAAAACATTCGATTTAACTATTGGTGCATGCATTTTTATTAAAAGTAAAATCTGAATTTTTATGAAATAAAAAAAAATTTATCAACAATCTTAATTTATTAGTAAAATATTGAACTTAGTTTTAATGACTTCAATTTCTAGCCTGAAATATAAAGCAAATTAAGTAAAAAAATCAGATAGTTCAAGAGTTTTTTTTTTTTTAATTTGGAAAAAAGGAGATTTGAACTTTATTTTTGGAATAAAAAAAATGTTATACTAACCACTTGAGCCAATTACTTAGAATTGATAGTTTTCATAGAAAAAAAAAAGTTGATAGTTCAAAAGTTCTATTATCGAAGAATGCAATAATATCTATTATGTTTAACGTTGTTTTTCTCTTCTCATATAGTTTTTATGAGTTTATAAATTTTATTTGCAAAATGTTAAAAATTTAAAAAATGTAATGCATAGATTGGCAACACACATAAAACCTTAATTTAAAAATATTTGGTAATTATTACGCGTACCATCTTTATTTCTATATCTCCTCTTTGAATTTCAAGGCACAAATCATTGTCTAAAGTCCGTTATTTTCTTTCCCTTTATTAAAAAAAAAAAAAGAAAAGAAAAGAAAAGAAGGGAAAAGTTGTATCGTCGGAGAAGATTTTGATAATGAAAGCGAAATGAAAGAAAAAAAAAAAAAGGAGTTTTAGATGGTAGGAAAACGTGTGGGGGCATAAAGGGTTGCGTCTTTGGCCGGGGAGAACCGTCCCCCGCAGGATTTGATTGCAAAGCTCACACTCTAAACCACATCACATTTTCCTTTTCTTTTTTTTTTTTCTTTGGAGAGAGGAAGAAAAAGAAGCACCCGTGTCATGTTCATATATATATATATATATATATATATATATGTTGATAAATTGATCATTGTTCATATTAATTGTGTGTTCCTCTCAAATACCCTTTTTCTTGAGGACCTGTCTAGATTCAAAAATTCAAACGCACGACAATCTACCAACTCTAATATTTCTTTTGGAAATTTTCAACCTAAAACTAACTTCATGATTTATATACAAGACCTTTTCTTTTCAACTAACTTTTCACATTTAAAAGTTTCATAATAATAATAAAAAACCAAGACAAAGTGAGTTGGTTAATAGCTAGATTGAACTTCAAAATTAATTAGTTGCTTAATAAAATTAGGATTTGTGTTATTGCCATTTGCTTCATATCACAGTGTCATGAGTTGAGTCAGAGCAACTCAATTTGTTTTCTGAAATCCTTACCTAACATCTGGTTTTACCCATCAAATTTAGTAAGTGTAGAAATTTTAAAAATGATTAAATATAAAAATAAACCCTATGTTAAATATTTTCTGTTAGAATGACACCAAAAGAAATAAAATTAAAAGTTTGGTATTTCAACTTTATTTTGTCATTCATTTTAATATTTCGGATTAACATCATTAATAAATTTATTGACGTGGTATAAACATTTAATAAGATATTGATATGAGTAAAAAAAATTTTTAATTATTGTCAAATCAACAATAAAATTTTTTAAAAAATTTTAAAATATTCTAAAAAACTTTTTAAAAATTTTAAATAAGATTTGAAATATTTTAAAAATTTATAAAAAATTAAAAAAATATTTTAGAAATTATAAAAATTAGAAAAATTATGAAAACTTAGAAATTAAAAAAATTTAAAAATTTAATAAAATAAATATTATTATAAAAAATGAAAATTTTATTTAAAATAAAATTTTCTTAAAATTCAAAAAAATTTCATAAAAACTAAACATTTGAAAATAAAAAATCTAAAATTTTTAAAAAAATTTTAAAAGTAAAAATCTATTTTTTTTAAATATGAAAATTTATAAATAAATTCTTAAAATTTTAAAAATAATCTGAAAAAATAAAAAAAAATCAAAAATTAGAAATATTCTAACAAAATTATAAAAAATTAAAAAATCTGAAAAATAAAAAATCTAAAAATATAATAAAAAATCCTAAAATTTCAAAAAAAAAAAAATCTAAGAAATTCACTAGATATAAAAAAAATGAAAAATTTTCATAACTTTTTTAAAAAATTACAAATTTTTTAAAATTTTTTTTATTTTTTCAAAGTATTTTATATTATTTTTTTCAAAATTATAAGTTTTTGTCTTTTTTTTTTAATTTTAAGGAAATTTTCTTTTTATTAAAAGTTTCATTTTCAAAATTTTTTTGGATTTTTTTGGATTTTATGATTTTTTGAATTTTTAAAGTTTTCATAATTTTTTTAGTTTTTAAAATATTTCAGTTTTTATTTTTTTTATAACTTTTTAAATAATTTCAGATTTTAATTTTTTAAAAAAATTTATAATTTTTTTAAAATTTTTAAAAATATTGATATGACAATTGATAATGTAGCATTAATTGAACTTTTTGACATATGTTAGTATTTTATTGAATATTTATATAGCAAATTGAATAACTACGTTTGTAATAAGTGCCAAAGTAGATGACGGAATAAAAATTAAAGTATTAAACTAAAAATTTATTTTTTCAAATACCAAACTAACATAAAATATATAATATAAAGGTTATTTTTATATTTAATTCTTTTAAAAAATATATGTTAAAATATTAAAAATATTAATGTTTAGTAATTTTAAATTATTTTTTCATTTATTAAATAATGTCTTGAGCCAAATCGAACTTAGCATGAACTTAAAAAACTTAATCGAAGACCTGATCTGAGTCTAACCAAACAGATAATCAGGAATGTAGGTAGACTGAATTCACACTTCACACAATGATATACTATTAAAATCATAAAATGAGTGTTGTATCGTCTCTTAACTTAACCACAGCTTGAATTCTTATTTATTTATTTATGAGTAAGGGTCTATATATATTATTAAATTATATATATTTTTTATTATTAGATCAAAATTAAATTAAAATAATATTTTTAATTTTAGAAAAAAAAAAAAGTAAAACTTACATTAATGCAAGTGTACCCCTCCTCTTTATTTATATAATCTTTTTGTTTTGGGATACAAGAAAAAAAGTATTTATCTAATTTTAAAATCATTATATATATATATATATGTTTATGGGCGCCTTAATTCAACATCCAACTTGATTAATTTAGGTGACCACATGTAATTTCCAAATTAAATGGATACCGTTTTTGTCGACTCGGATTATCCTTCAATTCAAGTCACATTATTTATGATCAAGATTATTACTGCCTAACTTTTATATGGTTTTTTGCAATTGATATTTGTCAACTAAGATACACTTGCAAGATCATATGTATATATTTTAAAGAGAAATTATCTCCTTGCCGACTTATTTTGGGATTAGTTAGCATAATATTAGAGTTGATGTATAAAGAATATAAGTTTGAAGGAATTTACACACATAATTTTTTTTTTCAACTAAATAAGTATAAAAGTAGAGGGTTTAAAAATAAATTAAGATCATGTGTCATGTCTCTTAATCTTGGTAGTGAAATTAAAAAATTTTATTGTCAATATATAGAAGATAAATACTATTATTAATTATTAAATAAGATATTGGTCCACTATGTGAGAAGAAAGAAGATTCAAACTTAGTGACGGATCTTAATATAAGATTTTGAGAGCCAATTAATATTATATTTTAACTTATTTTTTTTTCATAAAACATATTTTATGATACTAATTATTAATATAAAAATATATAAATGTGCAAAAAAATATTAATAAAAAATAACGAGTTTATAAAATTATAAAAGAAAATTATTACAATGAAAATATTAA